CCCAGCTAACTGAGGCCTAAAATAGGATTTGAACCCAGGCCTCCTGAGCTCTCGAAGTCTTGTTTACCTACAAAATTCGAATAATAAGTAATTACCTCCCAGGGCTGTGTTGAGATCCAGATGAGATCATGTTTGCAAAATGCTTTGCCCGTTCTAAAGCATCACAGAAACATCAGCTGTTATTAACCTTTAAACTACTCTAGAACCTCGAGCTACCATTGATTATAGCTCAAACTGCCAGAATGAGACACAAAACAAGGTGAAAAACCCACCCAGAAAGACTCAAAATTACCTAGTAATAATAATAACAGCTAGCATTTGCAGAATGCATTAGGATTTGCAAATCCTTTGCCAAATATTATTTAATCGTCATAAAAATCTTGGGGGATAAGTGCTATTATTATCCCCATTTTATAGATAGAAAACGGAGGCAGGCAGAAATAAAGTGACTTGCCCAGGGTCACACAGCTAGTCCATGACTGAGACTGGATTTGAACTCAGGTCTTCCTGACCCCAGGCCCAGATAGCTGTTATCCACTGTGCTAAGTAGTTTGTCCTGGCTTATAATCTGGTAACTATTTTTTCTCCCTCCTTTTTTTAATTCCCCAGTGAATAAGTGGAAAGAATTATCTCTAGCACTATATATTTAAGGGCGGGAGGAGGGATCCTGTACCCTGTATCATCCTACCCTGCATAGAACCTGAGAGCTGGAAAAAAGCTTAGGGATCCCTTCCAGCCCATTTTACAGAGGAAAACACCAAGGCCCAGAGATGGAAGTGACTGGCCCAAGGTCACACAACCGGTAAATGGCAAAGCTCAGAAGAGAATTCAGATCTGTTGACACTGTTCCCACATCAGACAACAAATGTTTTTTAGGCACCAAAACATCTTTGAAGAAGATATACATAGTCCTTACTCTCAAGGACTAATCTACATGGGAATAAAGCCATTAGTAAATAACCTGTGATCTCCTCAGGGTTGGAAGTCCTTACCAAGTCTCCCTGTGGCTTTCCCCATCAAGGCAAAGAGGAACCTTCCAGATTCAGAAATGCGTTTAGCGGGCATTAAAAAGCTGCATGATTTCCACAATGATAAGGCGTCAGAGGTGAGAGGTGTAACTGAGGTCTCCCTCAGTCATCCAAGGGGACCTCCCACTTCTTTTTACTTGGGTGCTGCCCTTTGAGCATCTCACCTATTCATCCCTCCGGCAATGGTGAGACCCAAACCTGACTTCAAATCCCATCATGGCGGAAGGAGGCTAACGGACGGCATCTCCGCCCAGCTCTTCTGAAGATGTGAATCAAAAATCAGGAGACCTAATTGGGAAATCCACCAGCTCGCAGAACAGACACCCACCACCCTGGGAATTCCTCCCAATTCCACTACAAATCCATGTTTCTGGTTGGCCCCTTGGGTCGATATTTGTACTATTGATGGCTGCTTCTGGCTAATTCTGCTCTTTCACTGTATGAAGAAACAAGCCCTCCCCCAACTAAATAAGAAAACAATTGCCAAGTAAAAGGGAAGACCTGATAGAGAAATTCAGCAGCCCAAATCAGGGGGGCCCACCTTCCCCCTCCAGAGGCAGCCTGACTCTGCCACCAGGGGCAGCAGGAGAGAGGGCTGGATCTGCACTCAGGATCAATTGATTGATCCAATCCCACCTCTTCTATTAGGTAGCTGTGGGACTCTGGACAAGTCACCCCCTCTCAGAGTCTCATCATCCATGAAATGGGAATGAAGATACTTGAGCTTACACAGAAAGGAGGCTTAGGTTGAGAGACCTGGGTTCTGAGACCCAGCACAGAGGCAGACTGGCTGGACAAGTCTGGGCAAGGGAAGTCACCATTCAAGCCCCAGGCAACTCACCCTAGAACATTCCGAGTTGTAGGATAGTGGCTGCTCAGTATTGACCATGGGGGTTCCTCCATAGGGGGATTTCTCGATAGATAGATAAATTGACAAATAGATAGATGAATGAATGAATGAATAAACATACATATAAATGAATGAATGAATGAATGAAAGAATAGATGAATGAATGAATGAATATACACATAAATAAATTAATATACATATAAACAAATAAACTAATGCATAAAAGAACAGCTAATTAGGTTGCTGTTTGTCCTTTGTTCTTTTGAAAAGGACCATGATATCACAGGTGGACCAAGCTATAAGAAATCAAAAAATCATACCACCTATCCCTCATAAGGAAGACCTAAGATATAGCAACAATAACGATGTTTTTGTTGTTGGAGGGGGTCAGATTTGTGATTTTAACAGAGAATTTCCTGTGTGAAAATTCCTTCCACTCATGTAGATCCCAGAGCCTTGTCCATGGTCACACAGCCATTATGTGGCAATCGAGGGATTCAAACCCAGGTCTTTCTGGCTGTAAATCTAGAACTCTCTAGCCACTACGCCAGAGGGGCAGCATGGCTTAGTGGACAGAGTTCAGCAAAGTATCATGGGGAAGCACTGATTTGTCAGTCAGAGGATCTGGGTTCAAATCTTCCCTCAGATACTAGCTGATATGACCCTGGGCAAGTTACATTATCTCTATATGTCTCAGTTTCCCCATCTGTAAAACGGGGATAATAATAGCACCTCCATTCCACGCCCATTCAGAGGTTCAAATGACATTTAAATGCACTTAAAAGGTTTTACAAAACAATCCACTACAGAAATGCCAACCATTGCATGCCTTTCTTCACAGTAAAGCACTTTACGAATCGAAGGCGTTAAATAAATCTGAGGGATTATTATCTGCTGAACCAGAGAAGTAGCTGCACTAATCAGGAGTGTACAGGGATACCCAGCTTGGGCTGCAGAGTGACCTTGGCACTCTGGTCCCCGGCCAGCTGTGAGCAGAGAGGAGGCCAGCCCTGTTCTCAGTGCACCCCCTGGTGGCTGAAGCTCGAATACACTGTGCTTCTCTACAAAGACAAACACAAATGAAGAAAGCTTGCTGTCCATTGATGCAGACCACTTCCACTCTACCCTCCCCCACTAGAAATAATGGCCAGGAGGAGAATTACCATTAACCTTCAGCTACAGACAAAAATCCCCAGAGTGAAAAAGCTGACGGTCTTAAGCACCCGATCACTGCCACTCACCCGCCCAGGCCATTCCCCATCCCCCTCCCAAGGGCAGCTTTCCAACCCTAGCCAAATCTAGCTACCCCCACTGCCCAGTTTGCCAGCTATAACTCAGAATCTGTCCAATTTTTTTTTTCAGGCTCTCCTGCAGCTGGAGGAGGGGGAAACAGCCAGGTTTTTCCTTGTCTGAAAGGTGAGCTAAGATCATATCCACTCCAAGAAACCAATCCATGTTTTTCAAGTCTGCATTCCCTCTTGAAGCCCCAGATGGATTTTTACAGCCCTTATGCTCTCGTGTGGCACAGAACACACCCCAAAGTGCTCAGTCTGAGTGCCCAGCCACTCTGACTGAATACAACAACCGAGGGGCAGCTACTTTCCAAAAATTAAGGAAGGCTCACCAATCCACCTTAAGGGACCCCTGAGAGCAGCTAGCTCTCCCACCACTACCCAGGACTGTTGAACACAAACCTAGTGAAATAGAGGAAGAAGGCATTTGTCCAAATGTTTCAGTCCTACACCCCCCTCCAAAAAAAGACCTTTTACCTGAAATACCAGATACTTGAAGGCATTTTAGTCTTGTACTACTATCCAGATGGTTACCTCATTTTTTCCATATCACTGTGGGTGTGCAGACTCAGGAAAAAAAAAAATCAACAATCCCACTTCATTGAACGATTTATTTTTCCTGTTTTCCTGTGGTCACTGCAGAGATTAGAACCCTCTTAGCACACCCCCTTCCCCCACAACAACAACAATAACAACAACAACAAATTTAAACCTCACTAGGCACCAGGTCACTCCATAAACACGTTCCTAACTAGTTTCTGGCTCTGATTTGCAAGCCATGAAAATGCCTTTAATCTGCTTTAAAGATTCAGGGACTTTTCTGCCACATAAACATCTCCCTGCAGCTAACTGCCTGTCACTTTCCACAAAGGCCAATGAGTATGTAGGCAGAAATCAGCACTAAAACGACAGCATAAGACTGGGGGGGAGGGGGGTTGGAATCGGTAGAAACCCACCGGAGTTACCAAAGCTTTTGCCCACTCTCAAACATTAAGAAGCTATCTATGGTCAATCTGGGCCAGTTCACTCTGGGCATTGGAGCAAGAAGTGAGCCGGGTTTCAAAGGCAAGGAATCTGGAATACAGCCTCTGGCTGGTTGCAGATGCAGAAAACCTGCATTTCTCCCCACGCACCCAACCTACCCTCAAAGCAAGCAAAACTGTCAGCAGCCCCCTTGCGTGCGAGGTTCTTCCCCTCTGTCCCGGCTTAGCTGGCTGAGACCGACACTCATCTCCAGCAGCTAAACCGAGAGACAGCCACCAGCCTCTTAGGAGCAATGCAGCCCCAGGGCCCAAGTGGGTGCGTGCACATAGAGTGTATGGGTGGATGCTGGAACAGACGGTCCGCGTGTGCTCGCGTGCCTCCTGCTGCCGTCGCTTGGGGAGGTGGAGGGGAGCTAGCTGTGTCTGACCTGAAGATGTGCGTCTGGGGAAGAGGCATTAAGGCGTCCCTGCGGGTGGGTCTGCATGGGTGTGCGTGAGGGAGAATGCAAACGCACGACCCCCATCCCCAAGTGCACTCGGGTTTTCCAATTAAAAAGACCCCTTTGCAGCTGGGGTCAGTACCCGCGCCCCCTACCCACCCAAGTACGAGCAAACAAGATGTAACAAGTGTCTAGGGATGGATACTGGAGCACGTCTGTTTCAGCGGTTGGCCGGGAGCGGGCGGGGGGGTTTGGGGAGGGGGCTCCCCGAGAAGTTCCTGAGGACTGAGTCTGCCTCTCCCCCCCCCCACCCACAGAAATATACATACAAATGCACCCAGAGAGAGCCACGCCACCTCGGTCCTCAGCTCCCTCCACGCAGAGGGGTCACAGGGGGCTGCCCTTACCACTCTGCCGGAGAACCTCTCGGTGGCCCTCTTGACTTTGCCGTAGGTGCCCTTGCCCAGGGTCTCCTGCAGCTCGTAACGGTGCTTGAGGTTGTGTTTGTGATGGTGTCGTTTCACTCCATGCTGCTGCTGCGGCTGCGGCTGCGGCTGCGGCTGCTTCCTCGGCTCCGGGGCCGCCCCGGACGCCAGGCTGCCCGAGCCGGCCACCGAGCCCGCCGGGGCTGAGGTCCCCGCAGCCGCCGCAGCCCCAGACCCCGGGTCCGAGGCGCTGCAGCCCAGGGGCGGAGGGGGGCCGGCCGGCGGCGGAGGCGCAGCCCCCTCCATCTGCCAGGGCAGGAGGCGTGGGCTGGGCTGGGCTGGGCTGCAGGGTCCCGGGGACTCCCCGGCCGGTCAGTCCCGCTCTTGCCCGGCGCCCCCCCGCTCCGGCCCGCGCCCGGTCACTGACGGCTGCGGAGGCTGCTGTGGCCGCGGCCGCCGCTGCAGCTGCTGCACATCTGGCGGAGCCCGCGCGCCCCGCCCCGGCCCGGCCCGGCCCGCACCGGCCGCTCGCCCGCCCGCAGCCGAGGCTCGGCAGAGGTGGCGGCGGGGGCAGCCGAGCCGCTGGGGTTGGTGAAGGGGAGGGCGGAGGGAGGGAAGCAGGGGGAGGGCTGGCCCGCCGCCGCGCCCCCGACCCCTCCCGGGAGAGCTCGCGGGGCGGGGCGGGGCGGGGGGCGGGGCGGCTCGCTGGCCCCGGCCCCCAGGACCGGCGGGGAGGAGCGGCCGGCGCGTCTGGGGCTTCCCCCGCCTCCCAGCCGGCGGCGGCGGCGGCGGCGGCGGCGGCTACCGCGGAGCCTGCCTGGAGACCCCCGGGACTTGGAGGAAGAGGAGGAGGGGAGGGGGCTGCGTGTCTGAGCTCGCTCTTTGTGCAGCCGGGGAGGAGGAGGAGGCTGGAGAAAGCGGGGTGGAGGAGGAGGAGGAGGAGGAGGAGGAGGGGGGGGGGGGGGGGGGGGGGGGGAGGAGGAAGCAGCCCCCTCCCCGGGACCGAGGCAACAGCGGCCAGCCGGGCAGTGCTGAAGCCGCGGGAGGGCGGATGTGCAGCCCCCAGCCCCAGCTGCTCGCCCCGCGCTCCTCTTCTCCTCTCCTCCTCCTCCTCCTCCTCCTCCTCCTCCCCCTCCTCCTCCTCCTCCTCCCTCTCCGGCCTTCCCGGCCTCCTCTAGCTGCGGTGGACGCAGCCCGCAGCCCGCACCGTCACGGTCACGGTGGAGCCGGGGCTGAAGGCAGGGGGTGTTGGTGGGGCCCGGGCCACCCTTTCATTTTTCTTTCAATGCAGCGCTGGCAGAGGGGAGGGCAGCGGCGGCCGGAGGCCGGGAGGTGATTGGGCAGAGAGGGGAGAGGGAGATCGGGAGGGGTGTACGGTTACAGGAGGTGAGTCACTGCCTTCTTCCTCCCTCCCTCCACGCCGTCCCAGATCCCCTCCCTCCCGCGCACCTCAGCCTTCGGAGCCCCCCACCCCCTCCTTAGCTGGAGAATTGGGCTTGGGGGGCCCAAAGCCGCCCTTTCCCTCCAGCCCGGGCCCCCTCCCTGGAGCAGGGTGGAGCTGGAGGCTCAGGGATGGGGTAAGTAGGTCGGAGGCTGGAGAGAAGTCCAGGCCAGGACCCTGACCTTGGCCTACCTTCCTCCCCTCCGGGCAGTTTGGCTTCCAGGTAGAACCAGCTGGCGAGGAGCTTTTTTGCACGGGGGCAGCACGAGTACATACAAGAAGTGTGCAAAGATACCATCCAGTCTGCAGGTGGGGTCAGAGCAGAAAGATGCAAGCAGGGAAAGCTAATGTTCCAGACTGGGAGCCTGAGAGGGCCCTCAAGCACCAGCAAGAAGGTCCAGGGGCTGCTGAAACGTTCCTGCAGCCGAGAGCAGGCCTGGGTTCCACTTGGAAGGGATTATTTCCTTGCTGCCAACTGCAAATGGCTGGACGCTCTTCCCAGAGAAGCCATAGGAACTAGATGGGGGATGGCTCCCCAGGGATCAGAGTTACTATCTGGGGGTGTTCTAAGAGAGACCTGGACCTTAACTGGGCATGGCCTCAGTCCTCTAGAAAGAGAAGAGAAAAAGAGAAAAGAGGCTAGGTGTAGGAGAAGAAAGCCATGTGGAATGCAAAGTGGGGCTTAACTGAATTTTTAGTAGCAGCAGAATCACTAAAGGGATAAAGAGCTTCCTCTCTTAACCAGGAAGTTGTGAGTTCAAGTTCCACACATCCTGACTGTGCTATCCTGGACAAGTCCCTTAACCTCGCAGTACACTTCTCCCCCACCCTCCAACTCTCTAAGATCCTAATTAAGTTGTCCTTAAGGTGAGAGTCTGTTTTGATAGAGGGAGCTACAAACCAGTGAAATCTCAAGTCCGGGCTTATCCCTATATCTAAAGGGTGATTAGAAGCACTAAACTAGATGATAAGAAGCACTCTGGACTGCCCAGAATTTTGAGAATCGTCCGAGTGTAACTTTGTATTGTGAAATGACCGTCCTATTAGAGTGTCTCTTGCATTTACCACTTCCTCTTCATTTCCGTTTCCTGTGTTGGTCAATAAACATTTATCAGGTACCTGCTGTATGCCAGGCACTGTGCTAAGTGCCGGGCATACAAAGAAAGGCAAAAAATCACACCTGCCCTCAAGGAGCTCACAGTCTAATGGGGGGAGGGGAGAGGCACTAAAACAACTATACCAATAAACTATAAACTAGATAAATTTGGAATAATCAATAGAGGGAAGGCAGTAAGAGGATTTGGGAAAGGTGGGATTTTAGCTGGGACTTGAAGGAAACCAGGCTGTGGGAATGAGAAAAGAGAGTATCTCATTCATGAAGGTCAGCTAGTGAAAATGCCCCAAACTGGGAGTATCTTGAGAGGGCAACAACAAGGAAGTGGTACCTATGGATTGTAGACTATGTGGAGGGGTGTAAGGTGTAAGACTTAGTAAGGGGGTGGGGAGCTGCATTATGAAGGTCTCTGAATGCCAAACAGGATTTCATACTTCATCTTGAAGGCTACAGGGAGCCAGTGGAGGTTTTTTTTTTTCTTTGTTTGTTTTGGTTTTTTTGGTGAGGCAATCGGGGTTAAGTGACTTGCCCAGGGTCACACAGCTAGCAAGTGTTCTATGTCTGAGGCTGGATTTGAACTCAGGTCCTCCTGATTCCAGGGCCAGTGCTCTATCCCCTGCCCTACCTAGCTGCCCCTAGTGGAGTTTATTGAGTAGGGAGGTGACATGGCTGGGGACCTGCACTTTAGGGAAATCACTTTGGTGGCTGGTTGGGAGAATGGATTGGAATGGGGAGAGATTTGAAGCCAGCACACCCACCAGCAGCTATTACAGTAGTCCAGGCATGAAGTGATGAGGGCCTTTACCAAGATGGCGCAGGAAAGAAAGGGGCATATGTGAGAGAAGTTACAAAGGTAACAAAGGCCTTGACATCTATTCTAACTCCATTTTACAGATGAGAAAACTGATGATAAGTGGCTGTATCGAGTCATCTGACTCCAAATCCAGCACTCTCTGCACTGTACCAGTAGAGGAGGTTGGACTAGATGACCTTTGAAGCCCTTTTCATTTCCAGATCTACGACACTGGAACTACCCCAACAGCATGATGAAAAAAAGAAATTGTTTATCTGTACAGAAATATTTAATATTAATTAAATTTTAAAATATTAATATAAAGTAATGTTTATATTTTTAATGTTAATTAAAGAGGGAGAGTAGAAATCTGTATGATCTCATGGGGGAAAAAAACTGTGAACTGGTCATCAGAAGATCTGGGTTCTAATCCTGACTGTTACTTACTCACTGTGTGACATTGGGCCTTCCTTTCTCTGGGCTTCAGTTTGCTCTTCTGTAAAACGAGTAAACTGGACTAAGTGACTTCTGAGGAACCCTCTGGGGCAGCTTAGGTGGTGAAGTGAGTAGAGCACTAGGCCTGGAGTCAGGAAGACCTGAGTTCAAATCCAACTTCAGATCCTAGCTGGGTGACCCTGGGCAGGTCACTTAACTCTGTCTGCCTCAGTTTCCTCATCTGTAAAATGAGCTAGAGGAGAAAATGGCAAACCATCCCAGTATCCCTGCCAAGAAAACCCTAAATGGGGTCATGAAGAGTTACACTGAACAACGCCAATAAGGGCCCTTCTGGTCTAAGGTTCCAGAATGTTTCTGTAGAATATAACAAAGTAGACCACAGACCCTCACAGTTCCAAAAGGATCAAAAAAAACCTCTCCAGTCCAACTAAGCATAATCTATTTCTTTGATCTAGTAAGAAGAGTTCTTATGATTTCCATGCACTAGTGATACAAAATTAAGCACAATTCTGGAATTTTCAAATAAATATCTCCACAACCTGGCACCACCTATCTTTCCAGTATTCTCCATCTCACCCTCCTTCTCTAATTGCCAAGTCAATCTGGCCAACCCCACATTCTATCCTCATCCCCCATACTCGTACAGAAGCTGACCCTATAGCTAGCACACAGCCTCTCCTCACCTCTGCCTCTTAGAATGCCCCAGATTCCTTCATTTCACAGTTCAGTCACCACCTTCTGGCTCCATCAAGGGTTCTTGACCTTTCTTGTGCCCTGGACCCCCTTGGCCATCTGCTGACTCCTAGGGACCCCTCCTCAAAGTCAGCTCCACCTGAGTCAGCATCCAAAAACAACTAAGGGGGTAGTAGACCACATCAACAGAGCCAAAATATCCAGATGGCAGAAGGTGATGGTCCCATGACCTCTGCCCTGCTCAGACCACATCAAGAACACAGTGTTTGGTTTTGAGAGTCACACTTGAGGAAGGATGCTAATCAACCTCTCCTGAGGAGGGCAACCAGAATGATGACAGAGATACAAAACCAAATCATGCTTGAGTGAGTGGAAGAATCATAGATTTGGAACTGGAAAGGACCTTACAAGTCAAGCTCAGGAACCAAGAATAAGTGAGATTAGCCAACTTGACCACCATTAGGCAAGGGCTGTGATTGGAACGCAGGTCCTATTATTCAAAGAGAATAAATCTTTCACCATTCCACGCTGCTTTTGAGGAATTTCACATAATTAGCATGGAGAATCCATAGCATGGGAGGGACAAGAGGGCTGTGCTCAAACATCTAGAAGGTTGTCACATGGAAGAAGGATTGGTCTTGAGTCCAGAGGGAAGACCTTGGACTGGCGGGCAGCAAGCTTGCATAGGGCATCCTGTTTCAGATGCCTCCTAGATGGGGGACTGGACGAGTCACCGAGGCTGTCCTCACCTGGAAAATGACTCAGTGTCAGACTTAATGGCCTCCAAAGTGCCTTCCAGAAGTGACTCT